GGGCATTCCCTTTTGTTCTGTCTCTCCTTTTGGGTGTTGTGGTTTGCAATAGAGATACTGAGTGGCCATTGTGTTGAGTCTATAGTCTACTTTCGGTACGCATCTCCCAAACACCCTTTACTTGGTGTTCCCTTCTCTATCTGAGCAGTCTTTTCCCCCCTGCATGTGAGGCTGGCTTCCAAGCCATGGGGCAAACTTTATCTCTACTATTCTTGGGTGCTAGTCTCCTATTCTGTTACCTTGTTTTCCCACAGATGAGTGCAATCTTTTTATGTCTATCCCTCTTTTTCTAACTCATTTCACTTAACATGATACTTTTCATGTTGATCCACTTATATGAAAATTTCATGACTTCATCTTTTCTAACAGCTGCATAGTATTCCACTGTGTAGATGTACCAAAGTTTCTTTAACCAGTCATCTGTTTTTGGGCACTTGGGCTTTTTCCAGATTTTGGCTATTGTAAACAGTGCAGCAATGAAGATACAAGTATAGATGTCATTTCTACTAAACTTTTTTTTGCCTCTCTGGGATATATTCCCAGAAGTGGTACTATTGGGCCAAATGGGAGCTCAATTTCTAAGTTTTTGAGAATCGCCCATACTGTTGTCCAAAAGGGTTGAATCAGTCGGCAATCCCACCAGCGGTGAAGGAGAGTCCCTTTCCACATCTCTGCCAACACTGGTTGCTTTTGTTCTTTTGGATGTGGGCCAGTCTCTGTGGTGTGAGATGATATCTCATTGTTGTTTTGATCTGCATCTCCCTGATGGTAAGTTATGAAGAGCATTTTTTTCATGTGACTGTTAACCACTCAGATATCTTCTTTAAGAAAGTTTCTGTTCATCATAATTGCCACTCAATGCCTCTTTTGCAAACCACAGCAACCAAAAGGAGAAAGACAACTAAAGGGAATGCCCTGCCACAGGGTGGGGTGGGGTGGGATAGGGGCTGAGGGATGGGAGGGATGCAGGGAGCATTGGAGGTAGGGAATGGGCACTGGTGGAGGGATGGGTACCCGATCATTGTATAACTGAAACCCAAGCACAAAAATTTGTAAGTCTACAACTGTACCTCATGGTGTTTCACTAATAAAAAATAAATTGAAAAAAAAGTTTTTCATTTCATCACCCCATTTTCTGATGAGGTTGGATTTTTTCTTCTTGTAAAGTTCAACCAGTGCCTTGTATATCCTTGATATCAACCCCTTATCAGATGAGTATTGGGTGAATATCCTTTCCCATTCTGTAGACTGTCTTTGTATCTTAGTCCTTGTTTCTTTTGAGATGGAGAAGCTTCTTAGTTTAAGATAGTCCCATTTGTTTATCTTTGTTTCCACTTGCTTGGTCAGTGGAGTGTCATCCTTGAAGATACCTTTAGCTTCAATGTCGTGGAGAGTTTTGCTGACCTTGTCTTCAACATACCTTATTGATTCTGGTCTGATGTTGATGTCTTTAATCCATTTTGATTTGACTTCTGTACATGGTATTAGGTAGAGGTCTGAGCCAATTTTTTTACATGCAGCTGTCCAGTTTTGCCAGCACCATTTGTTAAAGAGGCTTTCCTTGCTCCACTTCACATTTCTTGCTCCCTTATCAAAGATTAGATGATCATATATTTGAGGGTGTGTGTATGGATATTCCACCCTGTTCCACTGGTCTCGGCTCTGCCTTTGTTTCTGGCATCCCATAATGTACCCTGAGCCTTTCATACTCAGGACTGATCCCTGAATATGAAATCAGGAGCAAGCCCTGATCACTGCTAAGTGGGGCCAAAACCAACTTGAAAAGCAAAACAATAAGGAAAAAAGTAACAGACAAAAACCAAGAATTAAAAATTTAAAATATACAAAAATGTATCTGGGATCTCACTTTAACAAATTAGGCAGGTGAGGGATATGGTGGTAGAGCACTTGTTCTACATGTGTGACCTCCTGAGTTTGATCTCGAACACCTTAAAATAAGTCAATGAATAATTAAAGAACAATTGAAAGAAGTTCAAAAAACAAACCAAAAAAAATGCGACTGAAGAAGTGTTCAGGGCACTTGCCTTGCCAATGGTCGAGAGGATTCAATCCCTGTACTTCATATAGGCTCCTGAGCACTGTCAGGAGTGATCCCTGAACACAGAGCCAGGAGTAAGCCTTAGGCACAGCTGTGTATGTCCCAATCCCGCCAAATAAAATAAGATGCTCAAACTCTCTAAGTAAAGGTAAAAGGTAAAGGCCCTCCCGTTGATCGTTGATTTGCTCGAGCGGGCCCAGTAACGTCTCCATTGGAGACTTTGTTGTTACTGTGTCTGGCATATCGAATACTCTCGGTAGCTTGCCGGGCTCTCTGAGAGGGGCGGAGGAATCGAACTCGTGTCGGCCATGTTGGCCGCTTGTAAGGCGAACGCCCTACCCGCTGTGCTATCGCTCCAGCCCCAACTCTCTAAGTAGTGGAGAAATTAAAATGAGACACAATATCTTCAGTCAACAAACTGGCAGGATTATAAAGCTAGAAGACCTCTTGTGGTGATGGTGAGGATATGGAGCATTGCTATAGCTGCTGCAGGTCCCAAACCCTCGGACCTGCTGGTGGGAATACAGACTGCAGAGCTTCCAAAGCTCTATGTCAGAGGATAGACAGAAAGATAGAAAGATATATAATCCAACAATTCATCTCTTCTTTGTATTCTGTACCCTCACAGGTCTATAAGACAACATGTGCCAGAATAAAGTTGTTACAGTTTTATCTGTGGAGATGAGAAGTTGGGGGAAGTAGGGAACTACAACACTAGGAGAATGATTATGGGAAGTGCACTGAATTCCCAATATAGAGGTCGGTACAGCTGTTTTAGCAGTGAATTATATGTAACTGAAATGCAACAAAATGAGATTCTAAAGAACAGTAAAAAAGGAAAACAGCTAAGAACAAAATGACTGAATTCAATGCAGAAGTAAACAACACACACATACACCAAATTTAAGATACTTTTCAAAAACACATGGAAACAAAAACATAAATATGAAACACATCAGAATAGCTACCTGTAAGAAAGAGGAGTGAGGGTAGGCTATTGGCAGTAAAACAAATAAATAGGGCCAGGGATGTGGCTCAATGGCAGAATACATGCCTCCCATGTGTGGGTTCACGGTTGAACCCTGGAACCACAAAATACTTCTAATAAGTATATTAAATGGATTTGCCATTTCCTCTGAGATGTCTTCACTAGCACTCTCATCTAAGACATTTCTACTATTTTCTTTAATTTTTTTATTGTTAGAAAAATAACAGTTTATGGTTGTTTGCTGTCTTTCTTACCACTCTAAGAATGTATTAGACAGTATTACTTCAGTATTACAAACAACAGTATCCATAGGCCTGATAATGATGACAGAGAAAACAATGGATGAGTTGCTGAGTGAATGAAAGGATAAATGAAGGAATAAAGGAATGAGTTGGAGTCAAACTAGCCTGTAAATCACTGAAACATCTGGATAGGAGAGGCATACTCAGAGCTACTCTTCAGAAAGACAAGCAAAAGAGTAATGAGTGGTGTGGATTGGAACAAAGGAAGAAAATAAAAAAATAATATCTACTTCAACATTCCAAACAGGAGAGGGCCCAGTGGGTCTCCAAAAGGGAGATGAAAGTCAGAAGGCTCTGAACACTGTAGCTGGTGACAAACAGAGGAAGTGGGTGCTGTCCGCATCTCTAAGCTCATGGTTCAGTAAAAGAAACTATGAGAATTCCTCCCTTGTTTTTCGGTTTGTCTTTTTTGTCTGGGGGCCACACCAGAGACGCTAAGGGCTTACTCCTGGCTCTGCACTCAGAAATTACTCCTGGCAGTGCTCTGGGGACCACATAGGATGCCGGGGACTGAAGCTGGCCCTGTGCAGAGCAAGCACTCTACTCCCTGTACTATATTGCTCCAGCCTGAGAATTCTCTTGGATGAAACACATATGCACTTTTGGAGATATTAAATTCAAGGTCACATGTTTACAGAACATCATCTCCAGGCTCTGAGAATAATACTCTGTAACAAAGACATGTCATGTGTCTTCAAAGACTTTGTGAGAAAAAAAAAACAATTAAAGGGGTTGGAGAAACTGTACAAGGAGTAGGTCTCTTGTATGCCACTGAAACCAGTTCAATCTCAAGTATGGTCTGTGGCCCTGGGTTTATTCCTGAGTAGAGAAATAAATAATCCCTAGCAAGCATTGGGGTAGCTCAAATACCAAAATAAAAAGAAAACAATTATAATATGATAAAGCAATAATGGAAAAGTACAGGGTGTTATCAGAGTAGACAAACTTGCCAGTGAAGACTGTTTCAATAAGAATTTAATATACATCACTTAAAAACTGAAAGTGAGGTAAGACAGAAATTTAAGAGGTAAGACACTTGACTTGCTTGAAGCTACGTCAACTGTGCCCTGGATTCAAATCTCCAGCACCACACATAGTCTCCCAAGCCTCATCAGGGGTCACTCTTGAGCAAAGTGCCAGAACAGCCTCTAAGCATCACTGGTATGACTCCCAAAAGTATTATTATTTAAAACATGAAAATTCAAACTTTTGAAAAAATAAAAATTAAATCTCTGTTCTCTGGAATCAAGGGAGAAGGAAAAGGAATTCAATTCTATTTTTATTATTCTCCCCACTCTCGCCATTTAATCTATATTCTCTTTCTCAAAGGGAATAAAAGGTTAAGTTTTTCACAGTTCAAAGTATTCAGTTACACAACCACAAACAGAAAACACTCGCTGAGTTCATATAATGACTGAATTACTGTAAAATATGTAAATGAACCTGTATGAATAATTTTTATACTGTTCCCAACAGATACGATGGTCTGAATGATTTCACTAATCATCTAATACCACTTTAATTAGTAAACTACAAACATCCCAATGAAAAAACAATGTTTTTCCTCAATGACCAACAGAAAGAACATTTTAAAAATGGTATTTTACTGGTATTTCAGGGTTTCTGCAGATGTCAATATTGGGGGACATACCATCATATGTTCCACTTTCTAATAATGCTCCACTCTCCTCCAGTGCTTTGAACTGTTCAACAGAAATAAAGTTATAGTCGACTCCTGGTACTTCGCCATCCCTGGGAGCCCTGGTAGTACCTAAGAGAAAAAGAAAGAAAATTTTAAAATTATTTTAAAAATAGTACTGATAAAATTCAATTTATGGAGAAGACACAAGAGTAACAGACTATCAAATCTTCTGTATCTTTAGAACAGGCTTCAGAACATCTTAGATAGGTTACAGTAATAGGTAGTAAAAGTAAAGGCCCTCCCGTTGATCATCGATTTGCTCGAGCGGGCCCAGTAACGTCTCCATTGGAGACTTTGTTGTTACTGTGTTTGGCATATCGAATACATCACGGGGAGCTTGCCAGGCTCTGCCTTGTGGGCGAGATACTCTCGGTAGCTTGCCGGGCTCTCCGAGAGGGGCGGAGGAATCGAACTCGGGTCGGCCATGTTGGCTGCGTGCAAGGCAAACACCCTATCACTGTGCTATCGCTCCAGCCCTATAGGTAAAGGTGAAGGTAGCACAACAAATAATGCAAGATGATTAAATATCCTTTAATAAAAACTATAGATAAATTCAAAACAACAAAGAATAAAACTAATTTTGCCATCCAAGCAAAGTTACCTTTCTAAGACAACACAGAACTCTTTTAAGCTTCAATTTTTTTTTATTAGTGAAACACCATGAGGTACAGTTGTAGATTTACAAATTTTTGTGCTTGGGTTTCGTTTATACAATGATCAAATACCCATCCCTCCACCAGCGCCCATTTTCCGCCACCATGGATAATATCCCTCCCCCCCATCCCCCCATCCCACCCTGCCACTGTGGCAGGGCATTCCCCCCTGTTCTCTCTCTCCTTTTGGGTGTCGTGGTCAGTAAAAGAGGCATTGAGTGGCAAACATGTTCAGTCCATAGTCTACTTTCAGCCTGCAACTCTTCTCCTGGGAATATCCTCCAAACACCCTTTATTTGGTGCTCCCTTCTCTATCTGAACTGCGCTTTCCTCTAGAATACCCGGTTGGCCTCTAAGCTATGGAGTAATCCTCCTGGTGTTGATCTCAGCTATTCTTGGGTATTAATCTCATATTTTGTTATTTTATATCCCCCAGATGAATGTAATCTTTCTATGTCTATCCCTCTCTTTCTGACTCATTTCGCTTATAAGCTTCAATTTTTATTACTTAACATTTAGTGGAAATAAAAATCCACCAGTCATAAACTTCATTTTTAATGCGATTATTTTAAATATATTTTCCTTATCTATCATAAATACAAATTAAATTCCCACATACCAGAGCAGTAAAGAATAATAAAGGGAAAATTTCTGAGTTCTTTTAATGAATACCACTTTAAAATCTTGACAAATACTAAATGTGAAATTCTTTTAGACCAAAAAAAAAGCTTATGATAAGTATTTCCATGATACATCTTAATGATTATTCTTTTCAAGTTATTTATTAAAGTTAAGCATTAAATAAACTACTTCAAGTAGTTATTTAACTACTTAACAACAATAGCCACATAAATTTATACTAAGATATTCATGCTAAAGTACAATACTTCCTTAAGATCCAGGTCTCAGCAACACTGCTATATTTGACTAAGTTTTACTGAACAAGAAGTGGCACAATTGGGGAAGGGAGAAGGCTGGGGTTTGGGGCCACACCCGTTGTGGTGCTCAGTTGTTGGGGGACATATATGGCACTGAGGATTGAACCAGGTTGGCTTCAGGCAAGGCAAGTGACTTAACTACTATACTCTCTCTTCAATCCCAGCAATCAAATACTTTAATGAGCCGATATTTAAAATGTCTTCTCAAATATATCATACAAAACAATCAATGTTTAGCCTGGGAAGAGAGTTAGTGTGACAATCTCTGTGCAAGGGTCCCTTTCCAGTCTGTTCCTCTACTCATGTTCCTTGTCCACAGCTATTCTTTTTCCGGCCTCTCAAACCACCCCTGAGCCACCAAATTTAGCTGATTCTAACTCCTAAAAAATCTTTAGGATTTTAATACTTTTCTTTCTTCTCACACTTACCTAATTTATATCATTACCTATGGCTTGAATTTCTGGTTTCCTGCGTCAAAATGTCCCTCTCCTTTACCAAAACTGTAGCCAATCAATTTTCAAAATAATCATTTGAGCAGAAAGTACTTTCTGAACTTATCAATGACTTCTCATGATCCCTTGCACACACACAAAAAAATCCAGATTCTAAGTATCCCTGTTCTTCTTTGCTGCCCTTCCGTCCCATTCTAGCTTTAACCACATTTGATTTTTTTCAACTTTTAAAATGCTCTTTGGCACCTGCCCTTTGTTTAAGCAATACCTTTCCATGGAAGAGTTCTGCTTTCCTTTCCCACCACTACTTATCTAACTCCTATTCACCTTTGGGTTTTGGCTTAGAAAGTATCTGTAAAAATCCTTCTATTTTGAGGCCAAGGAAAGTTGGCACTTCCTTCACACACATCTGAATATGTATGATACCCTGCACCCCATATGGTCCCCTGAACACTTCCAGGAGTAATCCCTGAGAGTAGAGCCAGGAGTAACCCCTGAGCACCACTGGTTGCCTAAAAACCAAAAAAGAAAAAAGAAGAAAAAGAAAATCTTCCTGTTTTTCATACAGGTATGGCAATATGCAGGGGCCATGCTGACTTATTTAATAGCACAGGGGACCAGAACAATAGCACAGCAGGTAAGGCATTTGCCTTATACACAGTCTACCTGGGTTCAATCCCTGGCATCCCATATGTTCCCCCGAGCACCACCAGGAGTGATTCCTCAGTGAAGAGCCAGGAATTAACCCCTGAGCATCACCAGTTGTGACTGAAAAAGCCAAAACGCCAAAAAAGAAAAAAAGAGAGTAATAGTACAGTTCAATATCGTCATTAGATAAGTCAAACTTTACTATCACTGTCCCTGTCCTCCCATTGTTCATCGATTTGCTCGAGCAGGCCCAGTAACGTCTCCATTGTGACACTTGTTACTTGTGTTTGGCATATCGAATACCTCACGGGTAGCTTGCCAGGCTTTGCCGTGCAGGCGAGATACTCGTTAGCTTGCTGGGCTCTCCGAGAGGGGTGGAGGAATCAAACTCGGGTCAGCCATGTTGGCCGCTTGGAAGGCAAACGCCCTACCCTCTGTGCTATCACTCCAGCCCAAGTCAAACTTTACAAAAATATGAATAACATAATACTTGGAAATGTACAATTATTATTAAAACCATCACCAGAATTCATCAACAAAAAACATGAACTGTTTTTCCTTTTAAATGCATTACATTTAATTCTATTCTAGAATTCAGGGAAAAATTCACAAACAAGGTAATACAAACTGAAATGCAACAAGCTAAAAAAATAATGGGGAAAAATGATTAAGTCAACATTCTAAGTAACAAAAAAATGTAATGAATGTTTCCTTATTTTTTTACACAAACTTGCTCTTAAAATAAATAGCAATTTATGCTTTCAATCACAGAGGATAGAAAAATCAACAATCTGTTTCTCAATATTGACTACGCATGCATTGCTAAGTCTTCTAATCAAGTTTTCAACTATGTATTAAATAGAAACTAAACATTAGAAAACAAATACAATGGTCAAATGTATAATCGTCCATGACAGATGGAAAACAAGGCCATGATATTTTGCATCTTGTGTTCTCAAGAGATAGGGATGCCTCATGAGAAAATGCTCCACATCAGTAATCATCAGAGAGATGCAGATCAAAACCACAATGAGATATCATTTCACACCACAGAGACTGTCCCACATCCACAAGAACAAAAGCAATCGGTGCTGGCGCGGATGCGGCGAGAAAGGGACCCTCCTTCACTGCTGGTGGGAATGCCGGCTGGTCCAACCCTTTTGGAAAACAGTATGGACGACTCTCAAAAAATTAGAATTTGATCTGCCATTTGACCCAGCTATAGCACTCCTGGGAATATATCCCAGAGAGGCAAAAAGGTATAGTCGAAGTGACATCTGCAATTGTTTGTTCATTGCAGCACTCTTTACAATAGCCAGAATCTGGAAAAAACCTGAGTGCCCAAGAACAGATGACTGGTTAAAGAAACTTTGGTACATTTACACAATGGAGTACTATGTAGCTGCTAGAAAAGATGAAGTTATGAAATTTACATACAAGTGGTACTACATGGAAAGTATCATGTTAAGCGAAATGAGTCAGAAAGAGCGGGATAGACACAGAAAGATTGCATTCATCTGGGGAACATAAAGTAACAAAAAGGGAGAGTAACACCCAGGAATGGCTGAGATTAGTACCAGGAATTTTGCTCCATGAATGGAAGGCCAGCCACAGGCTCTAGGTGAAAAGGAAGCTCAGATAGAGAAGAGAGCACCAAATAAAGGGTGTTGTGAGGACCCTCCCAGGGTGGGAGAATCACGCTGAAAGTAGTCTATAGACCAAACATGATTGCCACTCAATGCCTCTCTTGCAAAACACAGTACCCAAAAGAAGAGAGAGAGAACAAGGGGGAATACCCTGCCACAGAGGCAGGATGGGACGGGGGGGGGGGATGAGGGTTGGGGGGGGGATGCTGGGACCCGTGGGGATGGATGATGGGCACTGGTGGAGGGATGGGCACTTGATCATTGTATAACTGAAACCCAAGCACAAAATTTGTAAGCCTATAACTGTACCTCATGGTTTTTCACTAATAAAAAAAGAAAAAAAAAAGAAAAGAAAATATTGATTCTAAAAAAAAAAAAGAGATAGGGATGCCTGTGGCCAGAATTCCTGAATCTGGGCTGGATTAAAATAAGATTTGAATAAGTTGAAGTGGAGTGTGTATTCTTTTGTTATTGTTGTTTGTTTGTAATTGTTTTTATTTTATAAAGTAGTTCACAATATTTGATTACATTTAATATTCAAACACCTATCTCACAACCACTATGCCTTTCCACCACCATATTTCAGATGTTTCCATACCAAACTCCAACCCAAAGCAGAATCGAAATAATATTGTATTGTTGTTATGAAAAACTGCTGAAAATGCTACAAAAAAGTTTCCTCAGAGGAAGAGTGTGAAGGTTGTTGTATTTTACTCAGGGGCCATTGAGCCC